ACTAAGTAGTTCAGTTGTCTAAACCTAACTAAGTAGTTTTGTTGTCTCAACTGAAATAAGTAGTTTTGTTGTCTAAACCTAACTAAGTAGTTTAGTTGTCTAAACCTAACTAAGTAGTTTTGTTGTCTCAACCTAACTAAGTAGTTTAGTTGTCTCAACCTAACTAAGTAGCTCAGTTGTCTCAACCTAACTAAGTAGCTCAGTTGTCTCAACCTAACTAAGTAGTTTTGTTGTCTAAACCTAGCTAAGTAGTTTTGTTGTCTAAACCTAGCTAAGTAGTTTTGTTGTCTAAACCTAACTAAGTAGTTTTGTTGTCTAAACCTAGCTAAGTAGTTCAGTTGTCTAACCCTAACTAAGTAGTTTAGTTTTCTAAACCTAGCTAAGTAGTTTTGTTGTCTAACCCTAACTAAGTATAGTTGTCTAAACCTAACTAAGTAGTTTTGTTGTATAAACCACAGCTTCATCACTGTGTTTTTAATATCAATCAATAAAAGTATTGATAAGTATTAGTATCAATTAAATCCTAGCGATGCACATCCTTATAGCTGTTTTATCCTCCAGCTTCCTGGCGCTGTGTGTGTGTGTGTGTGTGTGTGTGTGTGTGTGTGTGTGTGTGTGTCACAGGTCAGCAGCAGCAGTGTCAGTGTGGTTGTGGTGTTGGTTCTGGTTGGGTTGGTGCCTCCGGTCACAGCAGCGGTCCTCGTAATTGGTAATGTTCTCAGAGATCTGGTCACCTGAGACTGACGTCACATGACCTCCATCTGTTTTCATACATGAGTGAAGTTAATCTGAATAAGTTTACGCATGATGGTGCCGGTTACAAAAGAGTATTATGGTCCTCTTTAATAATATTTATTAACAGGTTTTATTTTGCAGACTTACAACGCTGCAGGTTTGCTCTATTTTCTCTCACACATTTAAAATTTACATTAATATGAACATATCAAAGTTTACTAGATTATGGATCAATAAATGTGATCATCACTCGTAGCTCTGCTGGAGGCTGAAGTCTCTGTCGTACTGGAGACAATTTACTGCTTTTGTTCCTTTACAGTTTCTGTGTGAACATAAAATAAACGTTTTAAAATGAAACGTAGTATTTGTGGATGAAGCCTCAGTCTTTCAGGCTTCCTGTCTCTGATGTCAGTTGTTCCTCCATGTTTCCATCAGACCAGCTGACCTGATGTTTTTGTGTCTCTGCAGCTCTCAGAAGGAGGCGACTCTGCAAACTGTGAGTTCAGTTGTGTCGTGTGACTCGTTCAGATTGTGAAACTTCCTCTTCTCTTGTTTCTTTAGAAGTTTAGAAGTTTGTGGTTAATAACTGCAGCTCTCTGACGATGAATTGTGAGTTGACAGTTTAACCACATGGCTGTGCCCCCCCCACGTCATCGTCATCTTCATCTTCGTTACAGCATCGAAGCCTAAAAACCACAAACCCTCCGACAGGAGGACCAGAGTCAGAACAGACCCCCAACGCTGCCTTCAGGCTCTGATGAATAACACAAGCTTTCTAAAACTCAACTCACAAAACTCAACTCAACGTTTCCCTTCACACTTTATTTTCTGCTTCTGTCATATTTTAGTCTCTCTCCTTGATTTTTACTACAAAATAAAAGTCCTGCTCCTCAAACAGAACCATCATGACTAGAAGTAGAACTAGAACATGCCCTTAGTGCAGAATAACAGTTATGATGTCATCAATCAGTAAACAAGTTGAATTTATTTGAGAATTTAGAAAACAATATAATCTTTATATCCAACACTTTTCTTACAAGTGTTACAAATGTAGGAACAAAAAATGAGTCTCTACGTGTTATAAATATGAAACTATTCACATGTCTCAGCCCCTCTCCTCTCCTCTCTCTCTCCTCTCTCCCCTCTCCTCTCCTCTCTCTCTCCTCTCTCCCCTCCCCTCCTCTCCTCTCCTCTCTCTCCTCTCCCCTCCTCTCCTCTCTCTCCTCTCCTCTCCTCTCTCCCCTCTCCCCTCCTCTCCCCTCCTCTCTCTCCTCTCCTCTCCTCTCTCTCCTCTCCTCTCCTCTCTCCCCTCTCCCCTCCTCTCCCCTCCTCTCCTCTCTCTCCTCTCCTCTCTCCCCTCTCCCCTCCCCTCCTCTCCTCTCCTCTCCTCTCCTCTAATGAGAACATGAAG